GAAATCTGAGCCTAGGCAGCCTGACTACAGAGCCTCTTAACCACTTTACTATACTTCTCCTCCTAGGAAATAGGTATTGATATTCCCACTTTACAAATTAGTTACCTGAAACCCAAAGAGGTTAAGCAACTTTCCCAAGGTCACACAAGCATTAAGAGATGTATTTGAGGGCTATCTGTTCCAAAGTCTACAACACTCTGTTTCTGCATACTGGTTAGATAGTAGATACACTAGTTTAAAAGTCGAAATGTTCTACAAGTCTTCTTGTAAAAAAGAAAAATGTCCTCTCCTCCTTTCCTCCCTCCATTCCTGATTTCTGTTCCCTAGAGGCAATTATTTTCATTTTAAGACTTTTCTATTACTTACTCTTAGTTACAATTTACTTTTCTCCTATTATTTCTAAATAACATGTTTACACTATCCTAGACTTTTCAATTTTAGATATTTTCTACTTACCTCCACTGAAGATGAGGATTTCACTCTTACCCTGTTCTTCCCCTCTCCATTCCTACCTTCTCAGTATAGTTGCAATCTGGGGCTAGTTCAATATTCCTTATTTACATTAGTATGACTATGTGAATATTTACAGCTGACCCAATGTAGTTATATTTACTTTTTATTTAGCTTTTTTATTTCCCTGAAATTAATATGTGTCGTTTTAAAACATTTACTTGGTTATTCTCAAACTCTGGCAGAAATGTTAATATCCTTTCACTATGATCAAGCTTATCAGGTAATCCTTCATTTTTTTTTTTTTTAAGATTTTATTGGGGAATTGGGGGAGGGGAACAGCGTTGGGGAATCGGGGAATTGGGGGGTTTCGTGAGCTCATAGTGGCTCACGGCAGCTCACGAAAGCTCACGCCCGCCTATTGCCAGCCAGCCCCACTGCAGCCTATGCTGGCGGTACCGGCGACTCATGGCAGCCCAGCTCCAGGTTGAGCTATTGCTCAGCATCTTAGCTGTAGAGGGCAGTGTCACTGGCCCTCATATGTGGGATCTGAACTGGGGCCCTGCTGCTCAGAGCTGGCGTCCCAAGCCAACTCTTAATCAACACGCCACTCGGCCGGCCCCTAAACCTTCATTTTTATTTTTGTTTTCTTGGCACTATTTCTCCTGAATCCCTTTTCTTCCTGCTCCAACCTAGACCGATGGCTAAGGAATGTTATATAGCTGTTATTTTGGGAGATTGACTGTCTTATCTATCCTATCTGTAGGACCCTGCTAATCTTTTGGAATACTTTCTTGACACCACTTGTAAGATTTGAAGAACAAGTGTTTCAGATGGGAGAAAACAAAGCACATGGTGTGTGTGTGTGTGTGTGTGTGTGTGTGTGTGTGTGTGTGTGAAAATTATGCAAATATAAGTGGCAGAGCAGGACTAGAGCTGGACTTTCCTAACTCTTTGCCTTGGGCTCTCTGCAGGAAGCCACAGTGCCCTCTGCAGCCTGGCACAAATGACCATAGTTGCTACTGGCCAGGTTCACCTCAAAAGTTCCAGATCCCGGGCCAGCCGAGTGGTTCATTGGTTAAGAGCTGGCCCAGGATGCCAGCTCTGAGCAGCAGGGCCCCAGTTTGGATCCCACATGGGGGCCAGTGACACTGCGCTCTACAGCTAAGATGGTGAATAACAGCTTGACCTGGAGCTGGGCTGCCATGAGTCGCTGGCGATGGCATAGGCTGCAGCCCCTGCTGCAGTGGGTTGCCATAAGCTACCGTGTGTGGCTGGCAGCTGGCATGAGCTTCCAAGAGCCGCAATGAGCGGCCGTCCAGAGGCCGGCGACCCATCTGCCTCATCCAGGAAAAGCGCAATGATAATACCAACATGGGCCAGTGAAGCAATGTCCTCCACAACTAGACTGAAGGACAAAAACGACAGCAACTTCTCTGTTCCCCTTTTGCCGATTCCCCAATAAAATCTTAAAAAAAAAAAAAAAAGTTCCAGATCCCACAGAAGAATGCAGGGTGGCAGGGATTTGATCCACACCTCCATCTAACTTCTTTTATAAATGGGAGTTGTGACTGAGCACTAGGCTTTGAGTCATACTTCCTGCGTCTGCCAGTTAATAGTTATGCAATTTTAAGTTGGTCACATAATCTCTCTAAGACTCAATTTCCTCATTTGTAAAACAGTGCTACCTCATAGGATCACTGTAAGGATTAAGTACCATCATGTTTTAAAAGGTACATCTAAATGCTTCGTAAATGTTAAACACTTTTATAATTATGGTCTAGAACGGGGGTCGGCAAACTGCGGCTCGCAAGACACATGCGAATCTTTGGGTACGTACATGTGACTCAAGTAAAATTGAAAATGAAAATAAAACTATCATAGTTTCACTTATAAAATTTTAAAGGATATTATCCACATAATGGTGATTTCATTTGTTTTGTAGGTCTTGCAAAACTTTGAGGGACAGGATTGGCTCTTCCGTCTCAAAAGTTTGCCGCCCTCTGGTCTAGTATTTCTCAGGAGATAGTAATACTTTTACTATTAGACCTCAGCTCTCTAATATCCCTGAGTTCCTCGACCCTGCTGGGGTATTTAATACGTGAGAGCTGTGTACAATAGAAATTTTCTAAATGACTAGTTTACGGGTCTCACATGACTCTTGGTTAATAAGATATGTCTGTCACTCTTCAGGTTACCCCCAGTCCACCCTCCAGGGATTGATGACATCCCTTGGCCAACGGAGGTCAACTGACCAATACTAAAATAAATACCATCCAAATGTTCCAGTTCCTGCTCTTTGCTGATTTTGGCTTTTACAATTTTAAAGATTATCGGTTGATTCAAAGACACGTTTTCTGGGTAACGTTTTTCCTTAGGAGTAGCTCAACTTCATCTACTCCCACGTGCTTCGTACTACTATCCTTTCCAGTAGTACTTACTATACCCATTTGCATTCTAGAACAGACAGACTGAATAAAGAAAGATCCAAATTTGATATGAACTTTTGGGGACAGAGCTCATGTTGTGTATGATAGATAATCTTATGTTCAAACTGTAGGTTATGACTCAGGAGAGGTTGTGAAATCACCTTAGTGAAATCACAACTAGCACTTAAAAAGAAATAAAAGTATCAACCCGTATTACGCACAGTGAAGGAAAACATTTTGTGAAACTTGTTTTAATTATGCATATATATATATATATATATTATACACATATTCACTTGTGTATAAATGTGCTCACTTGCAATTTAAATGTACTTCACTAAGATTTGAAAAAGCTTGAAAAAACATGTCTTAGTGATTTTCACTAAGTTTTGTATGCCTCTGTCTTAGTTCTTTTGTCAGGCCTCTCTTCTAGATAATCCTATTTAAATGAACCCCCCCCCCCCAAAAAAAAACCAAACTCATGCATTTTCCTCTTCAGCATTTTCTGTACACCCACTACACAGATTCTAGGATAAAGGTAATTACTCTCAAACCTACAACCTCGTCAGGGGGAACAAATAGGTAAACTGAACATTACAAAAGTTAAATTAATTGAAATGTTAAAAGGTACAAGTAACATGCTAGGAAGTTAGGATGATTCACTCTGGCCAAGTTATCATGGAAGGCTTTATGTAGCCATTAGGCCCAAAATGTCGACAGATTAAGGAAGGGCTTAAAAGTATGTCTTTTTAAGGACTAGTAAGTAAAAGTTTGGCTGGATCGTATGGTCTGAAAGTTAGTTTTAGAACATGTGATTTAAAAGCAATGAATTCTATTTTGCCCTGAATACTTTACTACATTCAGATCCACAAAGAACATGTTATGATGTTCATTTACTTTAAAATATTTCAGCATAGTGTGATAATTGTATTATATCCTAGGAGCAGTGAGTTGCCCTAATCAGAAAGTCACACTCGACATGGTCCGCTGGCAATCCAATCAGGAAGACCATGCTCCATAATTGAGTACAAGGGCCCTTCTTTTTTTTTTTTTAAAAAAGATTTTTATTGGGGAATTGGGGGGATGGGAACAGCGCTGGGGAATTGGGGGAAGGGGAACAGACAAGTTGCTGTCGTTTTGTTCTTCA